TTTTTTCCCCCCTCTAGCTTAGGACCCTTTATTATCAAACAAATAATAATAAAACCAACAAACACAGACATATATAAATGAATTAAAAATATTTAAGAAATTTTAGTTTATAACTTGGCTAAGTCCACTTTACAATAACATGTTAAAATAAATTATGCCTCGTATAAGAAGATAATTATAATTTTAAGGACTAAAATAGGGATTCATTCCTTCTTTTCAGCGATCTCCTTGAAACTATAACCATTGATTACTTTGACTTTATAAAATCCTTACTTTAGTATGTAATTTTGCAGCAGAAAAAATCTTTATCTTAATTTTATTTTTCATCTGCATTTACCAAGGTAAACGTCACTTCGTAAAGTTAGGAAATAAAGTGAGAATTTCTAAAATAAATGACTAAACTTATAATCTTAAGAAATGGAGAATTTACCCTCTCTTTGCCTTTTTTTTTTTAAATAACTATTTTTAATTGTGCTATTCTTAATTTCTTTTACCAATAAAAAGTATAGACCCAATAATCACTAAGCAAAGGAAAAGGAGATAGCCCAAGTCTTTCCTTCTTCTCTGGCTTGACTTTGCAATTTGCATGAAATAATCCATCATAGAGAATGCAGTCTCTGCACCATAGTAGCATAATATAATACTGTATTATTTTTTCTTCTAACTTTATGTATGACGACGATTGAATTTTAACAAGAATTATATTATTCGTTGAATAAATTTTTTGTAAGGATTTTTATAATATATTAATTTTCTATTTGTCTATATCACTTCAATCGTCTTATCCCACACTTTTCTTTTCATCTCTACCTTTTTGTCGTATAACTTTTATATAATAATAAAATCATATAAAGCGTTGAGGCATGCATTCTTTCATAATGCAAGTTTGAAGCTTTTCATTGAACGAGTGAAACATGCTCATGTTAATTACTTGCATTGGCTAGCACATGATCCAATCATTAAAGAGAATTTTACTTTACTATTCGCATGATTTTCTTAAGGCATATGGTATATTTTTCGTTATATAGTAATATGTTCGGTAAGTCAATTTGTATTTATTTATTTATTTATCTTTGTCGTGAAGTCAGTTAGTTAATGACTTTACATTAGTTCACAAGCAACATAAGTATAAATTCATAAATATTCTCGCATTAAATTCCACTAGAAAAAAAAAAAAAAAAGAGAGAGAGAACTCTGTTAAAGCTAAGAGCAAAGGTTATTGGAAAGTTATATAAGAGCTATGATATTAGTTCATATTATAATATGATATCTAATAATTTATCATGGACTTGTTTACTTTAATCTATGCTCAATGAGCCATAATTGCTCACTTATTCATTACCCCCATATCATTGTTCATATCATCACAAAAACCGAGTGATATCTAGCAGACATCAATGGAAAATCGCACACACAACAAAAATTAATTTCATAAAAATATACGATAAAGCAAGCTTTATATCTATGAAATATTTGTTCAAACAAACTTATGTGTACCAACTTAAAATCTTACGGAAAAAAATAGTAGATTTAATTAATTTATAAAAAGAAGCTTAGTTTGACCTAAAAAAATGAAAATAAAAATAATCATGGAGGAGACTCTACTAATATTCATATTCATATTGACCTTCGTTCATCAATGAGAATATTGAATTGTACGCAGGGTCAGGACATGCATAATTAATCATTAACTATAGTAATAATTGTGCCAATATAAAAGAATTAATATCTTTTCTTTTCTCGAGTACTTTCTAAACGATTATAAATTAATATCATTTACAATATTGTCATTACTAATAACTTCACGAGTTTTCATATATGACAAGAACTTAACTTAAGTTTTTAGTTAAATAAATTATTCTTATAATATGTGAGTAATGATTAACTACTACATCAATATTTTTTTTTGGTATAACCACCCGGTATCCGAACCACAATGGGCCGACTAATCCGGATTCGGGGCGGGTCCAAGGATTACGGTATTTAAGCCCCTCCCAATCGCCGTTGTGGGGGATCGATCCGCGGACCTCCCTACCAAGTGCAGCCCCATGCTACCACTGCACCAATCAACGATTGGTCTACTACATCAATATAATATATTGAGTTGAAAAAAAAAATATATATTATAGGATTTTGGTAACATAATGGATTAATGGCGAATGGGAATGGTAGCTAGTTGCGCACATGGTTTGCTCATGATAAGTTATACGAGTTATATATAATCCTAATCCATATCTAATAATGCCATCACATGCACGTTTTGACAAAACTCATCACATAGATGTGTACACGTCTTGGGTACGGTGCTATACGACCTCATTAATCCTTTGAATCAACAACAAATTTTCCTTTTCTTAATTCATCTATCAAACACACATGCATCCAAACCACATGATTAGTACAAGAAACTAAGACCAACTACCTCAAGTTTTCGTTACTCATAGCATGCCTTTGTACAAAGACTTGTGAGCGCATTAATTGCAATTGCTTCTTTTTGCTTTTAGTTTATACGTAGTCCAAATCAAAATCAATCATAGTCAATGTCATCCATCCCATAAAAATTCAAATCTGGATCACATGCATTATTATTCTAATTTCCCTATACTTATAGTATGACAAACTCATCATTATACTATTACACGGATACATTAATTTGCTCATACAATCCAACCATGCAAGTTAATAATCAAATTGCTCTTTTCTTCATTTAACTGAAACGTATCCTCATTGAATTGACGAGTATTTAGCGTATGACAAGAGAAAACCTTTCCGTAATAAGATACCTTTCTTGTCACTCTATATATGTACTTAAATGATAAATCAAACAATTTTGTTTTCTTTCTCAAGTCAATTACTTTAACATAATAAACAACGTGATAATTCTGTTAACATGAAAGAAGCCGAAAACAAATATTTTCGATAACGATGATTCATGAACAATGTTACATTTTCCAACTTTGGAACCCTTTTTTTTGTTTTGTAAGTTTTTTGGGCCATGAATGGATGTAGCATTTAAGGGTGAGCTTCGTTGTCCATCACCCAATTGGAATCTTACTGTATTACGGAAAAAGTGAGTCACCCAAACTCCAGAATGAGTTAGTTTGGCCCAATTTGTGGAAGCTGATATAGGTCAAAGAAATGAGGGGCAGGGATTTCACACTAAACAAGTAGGCCCCACTTAGAGAAGTATCAAAAGTGAAACACAGCCCACATGGCCTAACATGCCTTTTCATCTATGCATTATGCTGCATGTCACCACATTCACGGATGGTACGGTCCACCCATGTGTCCTCTTAAATCCTACTGTCTTACCTCTTTTATTTCACTCTTATTTATCCCTTTTTTTTATCACTAAATATAAATAAATTAATTTAGTGAAATAGCCTCTATACTAGCAGTCATCCCGCATCAAATTACCATAAATAGTTCAAATAAAGTTTCTTCTGAATAGTTGACACTGTAAAAGTGTTTGGTACATAGTTAGAATTTATTTGAATATAAGTGTAACAGTGATATTGAGATCTCCTCTATTAAAAAATATTCTTTATTTTAGAAAAAAAAAAAAAAAAAAAAAAACTGTCAAAGTGCTTTAACCTATCTCCAAGCAAGCTCTTATTAAACTTGTAACTTTACCTCACATTAATTTGGGAATGCAAACACTTCATTGTAATATATAAAAGTAACAAATATCTTGTATGATATTTTTTTTGGCTGAACAAAATTAACATGTTACATTTAAAGATAGCAATGTTTGATGTTTAATTTATCATAGTCAACTAGAAACTGTATTCATCTTTTATTTATTATTGATAGAAAATTATTAAAAAGAACAGTAGTCTGAAAGCAGAAGGTCAGAAACAAGAAGGGGAAAAATCAGCTAGATTCCATTTCGGCACATTTCATTTCCCTGCGCAGTTCACGCTTCTGCATGTGTTCTAGTCAGATCATTTAGTGCATCATTTTCTTCCTTGTAAAAAATTTATGATTGTCACAGTTAATTTCCCTCCCTATCCTGATCCATAACTGATAACTTTGCTAGATAAGGTAAGGTGTCTAGCCTTTTGCGTGCCACTCATGGATCATGGCACGGAAAATTAAATGCACAGTTTTCATTTGATAAAGTTTAATGCCTAAGATAATTGCAAAGCATATAATTTCTTCTCGAGAAATTAAATCTAAACAAAAGAAAACTATATAAATACATGGTAGAGTTGAATTGCAGAAGGAAGTAAAGTCACTATAGCGAAATGGAACAGGAATAGGTCATAGACTTATAGGTGTAGATGGATATATAAAATACATGGATATTAATTGGTAACTGGTAAGGGAATGACCCGTCATTAATGATGTTTATGTAATGTGTATAAAGTATAAAGTTAAGAATGCATAAATCAAGTTATATGAGATTGATCTAGATTAACCGTTAGTTTTTTTTAGTCTTGAGTTGTGTTAAATATTTTGACGAAGAGCTTTATCTTTTATAGTAGTGATATTTGGATGGATCGGCCGGTAAAAGATACAAATGGTTTCCACAATTTTTTTTTTTTCAGAAACCTACTTCAACGGCTATATAGACATCAAATGCAGCTGAAAGTGATAATGAGTTGAAGGTCACTGAGGTGGGGTCTGCTTGCTGTAACTATTAGAGTAGCTCACTACATATGAAGCAAACTACCGACAAAGATTTCATCTACATAACTGTAAGTGTCGGCACACAGTTAATTGGTGATTAAACTTCGAAACAACATTCCAAGACACTTAATTACGAATAGTGCATAGTGGATTAGACGTAGAGCACTGTAACAAATTGAGTATTTGACTCAACTCAACATTAAACAATGAAGTGGTCCAGGGGATCTTAAAAATTAACAAACTATAGCTAGCGTTTGGAAATACAGATTACAGAGAAATAGGCAGCTTACTTAAAATTTTTAGAAGAATACTAATCATGTATGTATGAAGGATCATTTGTGATTACCTTAAATCATGGAAATCTCGAGTCTTACGCACCAAATATTTTATTTCATGTGAGGCACGGTTTTCCAGTTTGTTCCCTATAAATAGTCTAAAATGTCCTTATTTTCTTCACAATCTTACTATTCCTTTATCCTCCTTGCTTATTAGTACTACTCTTCAGTTATTGATTCTGATGGCATATCAAGCAGTTATGGAAATTCAAATTCTGTTACTATTTCTACTTTTTGTACTACCTTCCTGCATTTGCTCTTCCCCACTTCAAGATCCCGAATTAGTGGTCGAAGATGTACAAAAGTAGGAAACCAGCTATACTTTTCTCATTATCAACATTTGTTTTAGATCGTTTACATAGAATCTTTTTATTAAGAAACATGTTTGTTTATAAGAGTTTTTCAGAACTTTTCTATTGAAAACAAAGAATTTATTCGATAGATAAGATCTTAAAAACGCTTGTAAGCATAAACATGCTTATAGTTACATTATTACATATAATTGCATGCATTTGAGCATAACAAAACATGTGTCCTTTTTTTATTGCAGGAGCATTAATGCCTCAAGGAGGAACTTGGCATTTCTTTCTTGTGGGACTGGGAACCCTATTGATGATTGTTGGAGGTGTGACCCCAGTTGGGAAAAGAACAGAAAGCGTCTAGCAGATTGTTCCATTGGGTTTGGTAAGCATGCAATTGGAGGGAGGGATGGTAAAATTTATGTGGTGACTGACCCTGGTGATCACCCTGTGAACCCCAAGCCAGGGACATTGAGATATGGTGTTATCCAAGAGGAGCCATTGTGGATCATTTTCAAGCGTGACATGGTGATCAAGCTGAAGCAAGAGCTTATGATGAACTCCTTCAAGACAATTGATGGTAGAGGAGCAAGTGTGCACATTGCTGGTGGACCTTGCATTACCATACAGTTTGTGACCAACATCATCATTCATGGGATCAACATCCATGACTGCAAGAGGGGAGGGAATGCCTACGTGAGGGACTCCCCTACACACTATGGGTGGAGGACTCTCTCGGATGGTGATGGGGTCTCAATCTTTGGTGGGAGCCATGTTTGGGTAGACCATTGCTCTCTCTCCAATTGCCGTGATGGGTTAATTGATGCCATTCATGGATCCACTGCCATCACCATATCCAACAACTACATGACCCATCATAACAAGGTCATGCTTTTGGGGCACAGTGATACCTTCAGTAGGGACAAGAACATGCAAGTCACCATTGCCTTTAACCACTTTGGAGAAGGACTAGTGCAGAGAATGCCAAGGTAAGATAGATCTTCTTTTAGATCACATCATACTTTATTAGGGGTAGTTTAGCTATACAAGTGTTTTTCACTTTAAGTTTTTACCATAGTTACAGTAACCGATATTTCAATGTGATGCTGGATCATCAAAAGTGAATTTACATCTTTACATTTGCAGATGCAGGCATGGATACTTCCATGTGGTGAACAATGACTACACCCAATGGAAAATGTATGCCATAGGGGGGAGTGCTGCCCCAACTATCAATAGCCAAGGCAATAGGTTTCTTGCTCCTAATGACCATACCTTCAAAGAGGTTAGTTGGAGAAAAATAAGATTTTCCTTATAAAGTCATTCTAGTTTAACTGATACAATGCAATTTAGTTGGTAGATAATTTTATCTCTTAAATATGTGATCAAGAAATTAACTTCTTGTTGTATATATAGAAAATTAAACATTTTTTAAGTGGAATAAAGTTCTTAAATAGATCTCAACACTATAAAAAAAAATAGTCATTAATTTTTGGCTAAGAAATACTCTGATTTATTATTGATAATAGTCCTACCTAAATTTTGAACATATCGTCTAAAGTAGATATAAATTATGTGACATTAACTTTTTGTGGAGTATAATTGGTTTTAGAATCTAAATGGATATTGTCATTGTTACACTTGGTTGGTGGTATATAAGAATGGAAATTGTTAACTAATTTCAGGTGACAAAGAGGGAGAATGCTGGAGAGAGCAAGTGGAAGAATTGGAATTGGAGATCAACAGGAGATTTGATGTTAAACGGTGCGTTTTTTAGAGCATCAGGAGCAGGTGCATCTTCAAGCTATGCACGAGCATCAAGTTTGGCAGCAAAACCATCTTCCCTTGTGAGTTCCATCACAGCATCAGCTGGATCACTCAGATGCAGAAAGGGTTCGCGTTGCTGAGATGAATCAGGAACAAACACAACCCCAAACAGTATTATAATATTACATAGTAATAATAAAGGCTAATAATGCGTGCCAAGTGTATCTACTTTGTGGGGTAAAACTGATTCAACTTTTTTGTATATGGCAACCTTTTAGACGTTTTGTTTTTTTGTTAACGTGTGACGACAACCTTGGCTTGTGTTTACGATCTACTTTGTGGTGTCGTACATTACTAAATAGTAATGTAAATGCACAAGCGAATGAGTTGATATAATTGAATGATGAATGAAACACCAGAATGGAGAAATGTAGGTTCAATGAAATGCTTATACTTTCCCTATCTCATCTGTTGTGTGTTGTCTGGTTATACCATACTGTATTTTATCATACCATTTTTATAACTGTGTACGTAGATATTACTTAAAAAAAAATTCAATACATTTTATTAATTTTTCTAATTATTTAAAACAATTTGATTAATTATTATCTTTAATGTAATGGCTAAAATATCAGTCTTTTTTATTATTGTAGAATGCATTTTTATTAAGTATAAGTTTTATTTTCATTTTCTGTCATAGAATATAATTTTTATATTAAAAATAACTGTGTACATAGATACTTTTTTTTTTTTTTTGATAAGCAAAAGAATTAGATTAAAAGGAGTACAAGGGGTACTCCAACCCATTACAGAAGATTTCAAAACCTAATAAAAAATTACGAAATACACAAACGTGGGCTAAAATACCAATTAGAGTAACTAAAAGAACAACCAGGGACAGAACTTTTAATCCACTTCCATGACCGCATTTTAATATTGTCCAACACTTCCTTGCAATCCATTACACCTTGCTGGAAAATTATACCATTCCGATGAAGCCATAGTGACCAAATTACAGACACCCAGACCACTTTAAAACACTGCTTGGATTTTTTATAAATACCAAGATTCGTCCAATATAGATAGAGAGAAGTTAGGGAATTTGGAAGGACCACCTCTACCTCCAACCAATTGGCTACAGATAACCAAATATTAAAAGCCATTGGGCACAATAGAAAGAGATGAATAGGGTCTTCTATAAATAAAGAGCAAAGAGAGCAAAGGTTATTTTCCACCTCCACACCACGAACTTGTAACAATGATTTGCAAGGGAATGCATTCATGAATACCTGCCAACAGAACACCAAGCACTTGATCGGAGCCTTGCATTTCCAAAGACTTTTTGTGACTAGAATAAAATCTGAAGAATATGAAAGTTCTCCACCCATCGAGTGTTGCAGCCAAGAGTACGCACTTTTCACTGAGAATACACCATCTTTATCACAAATCCATCTCCATTGATCTTGTTTAGAAGAGAAAATTTGAATTTCCTGGAGCATTTCTATTAATGTATTCACACTTCCTTCTTCATGGACAAAAGGTTCTCTTCTCCATTTAACCTGCCACAGCCATGTAGATCCCTCCCAATTACCATTATGACCCACCATTGACAACGGATCAAAAGCAAAGGAGTACAAACGAGGAAAGACATCCAACAAACGTAAACCACCTATCCACTTATCCTCCCAAAATCTGGTTGAAGACCCATCACCAATACAACGTTCAATCTTTTCATCCAACCAATAATTTCCTTGTTGGAGCACCCAAACTATATCCTTCCACCACCAAGAATCCCTCTTATCCACATTTGGAGTCTTAGGAAAGGACTCAATGCACCCATACCTACCTTGAAGAACCTTAGCCCATATCGTTCTTGGAGAGATCATACACCTCCACACCCACTTCCCCAATAGTGCCCAATTGAACAATCTGACATCCTTGATTCCTAGTCCACCCTTATCTTTTGACTTACATACCGTTTCCCATTTTACCCAAGGTATCTTTGATCCATCTTTGACACCTCTCCATAAGAAGTCACGTTGGATGGCCACAATTTCCTTAATCACCGAGTTCGGAGCTTTAAAGAATGACAAAAAATGGATGGGCATTGCGTTCAAAACTGCATTAATTAAGGTTACCCTCCCCCCAATTGACAAATACCTATGCTTCCAAGAGGATAGTCGTTTACGTAAGCCATCCAATATAGGTCTCCAAGTAGCCAACTTCCTAGGGTTTGCTCCAAGAGGTAATCCCAAATGCTTAAACGGTAGTTGACCCAACTTACAATGCAAAAAAGAAGCCGCCAACTCAGTAAAATCTTCCCCGGAGTGAATACCAACGACGCTACTCTTGTGGAAGTTAATTCTCATACCAGATATTAACTCAAAACATCGCAATATGGCCTTTAAGCACCACAAATTCTGCATAGTAGCTTCTCCAATTATCAGAGTATCATCAGCAAACTGCAAAAGAGAGATTAATGGACCTTCTCCACCCAATTGTAATCCCTTAAATAGATTCATGTCTAAGGCCCTGGTCATCAACAATCTGAGGCCTTCTACAGCAATTAGGAACAAAGATGGTGCTAATGGATCTCCCTGCTTTAATCCCCTACCAATAGTTACTTCGACCGTGGGACTCCCATTTACGAGTGCTGATAAACTACCCCCACATACACAACCTTCCATCCACCGTACCCATCTCTCATCAAAACCAAACCCTCTGAGCATATACAACAAGTAATCCCACTCCACAGAGTCATATGCCTTTTCATAATCAATCTTCATAACAAAAATCGACTTCTTATATTTCTGAGCATAATCAATAGCTTCATTCGCCACTAAAACACTATCCAACATATGTCTACCAGTAATGAATGCAGACTGATTCTCTGAGATAATTGATGGAAGAATACCACGCAATCTATTTGCCAAAACCTTAGAAATAATTTTATACAGACACCCAAGCAACGAAATAGGACGAAAATCAGTCATACCTTGAGGGCAGGGAACCTTAGGGACCAAAGCCACAAAGTAAGACAAAAGAGCCTTTGGAATCTTGAAGTAAGTATGAAACTCAGCAAGCAAATCCATCACCTCCACTTTGATAAGGGGCCAAAATCTCTTCAAGAAAGCAAAATTAAACCCATCAGGCCCAGGGCTTTTATCACCATCGCTCTCCCTAATCAAACACCACACTTCTTCCTCCGTAAAGACACCAACTAACCTTTCATTTTGTGCATTGGACAACACAGGAGAACCATCAAGTGACAATCGTGGTCTAAGCCAACTCCTTGCTTTGAAATGCTCATCAAAATAAGACCTCACACCCTCTTTCATGTCATAAACCTCCTCTACCATTCGGTCGCCTATCTTCAAAGCAATAATCTGGTTACGTCGCTGCCTTCCCCTGATGCAAGCATGAAAGTATTTGGAATTTAAATCACCATATTTACCCCATTGAACTCTCGCCTTTTGAGCTAACAAGCTTAGTTTATTCCTCCGAGTACACCAAATACCATCCAATAGCTCCTTTTGCCTAATCCTTTCTGAGTTTGTAAGAAAGTAATCTTCATTCTTCGCATCCAGCTCCTTTAATTCATTGGTCAGACTTTTTATCTTAGAATCCACATTACCAAAGACTTCGACATTCCACTTCTTTAGTGTATTTTTAACATTCAGGAGCTTTCCTTTTAACCTCTGGGCAGCCCATGTACCTGAGACCTGTTTCTCCCATGCAGACTTGACCACATCCTCAATACCACTATGTGAAAGCCAACAATTATTAAAACGAAACGGTTTAGGTCCCCAGTTTAGTACCTTATGTTTCAAAATCAATGGACAATGATCAGATACATCACGTGGGATGACCTCCACAAATCCAGCACCCCAGTGAGCACTCCAACTTTCTGAGACCAACACCCTATCCAACCTACTCATCATAGACCCATCACCTTTAAACCAAGTATATCTCTTCCCAACTAGTGGTATATCAATTAACTCCATATCTCTTATAAACGAGTTGAATTCCTCCATATCCCGTACACCGTATTCATCGTTCACCCCTTTTCTCTCATCTTGTCTTCTCACCGTGTTAAAATCCCCAACTATACACCATAAACAACTCCCAAAACCACGTTTAGACATGATAATCGCTTCCCACAACCGCCTCTTATCCACCAACTGACAAGGAGAATAAACATTCACCACAACACACCTATTTGCATTGTCTCCCCATTGCAAGCAAACTCCATGGAAACTAGAACCAGAAAACGTAAACACCAATTTACCTCGATTAGAGTTCCAAATAGAAAGTAGACCGCCACTCCTACCTTGTGAATGAGAAGCAAGCCACTCAAACTCTGAAGATCCCCATAGCTGAGCACAAACAGCACGATCACACCTCTGTAATTTAGACTCCTGTATGGCAATAAAATCAAGTTCCTCAGCTCGTATTAGCTCAGATATACGACGCCTTTTTACATCACCCCCTAAACCACGACAATTGAATGTACCAATTTTCATTGCATAACCGAGGAACCCCTTTTAGCAATCGCCACCATACGATCCCTGAACTCTAGTGAAATAAGTTTTTGTCGCACCTCATCTTCATTCCCACGCACCTCCATTCCAATACTCTTACAGATAGAAAGAATATGATCAGCCATGGCTTCATCATTACGCCGTTCTAGGTCTGCCCCTGAGTTGACGCCTTTAGACTCATTCGACGAGGCCACTTTAGATGTCACCCCATCTTCAACAATCTTTTCAGACAGAAAATCTCCAGACATTGACGACGAAACTTGAGAGGCCCTTTTTTTATTCTTTTTCTTTCTTGCTATTTTTAGTACACTTCTCATATTATTCCTTACAGTTGGCTCATTAGTTTTGGCTTGAAGGGTGTTAATTGACATCCCCCCTTCCCTTGTCTCAATACACCTCTCCTCTTCAACTGGATGAACGGTAGTTGTAGTCACCTCAACTGTAGCTGTATTCACCTCTATTTCCACCTCTGTTCGCACCTCTCCCTCATCTCCCATCACATCACCCCCTATATTAAGCACTTCATTCTTTTTACTCACCCTCCTACTCATATTGCTAATCAATTCATCATCCTCATCTAATGTCACCCCTTCAATTGCATTAAAACTTTCCATTACTAAATCTTTATTTATAGTAGCTTCCATAGAGGATTCTGATACTTCTTTCACTGTTTGCTCTACCCTCTCAATACAATTCCCACCACTATCATCGTTGCCAATCCTCGATGTAGCCTCACCACTCCTGTTTTCTTTAATCATTGACTCCAGTTGACCCTCCTCCATCCCTCTATCCTCATCAGAAGAGAAATTTTCCACATCTTCCAAATCAAGTGATTGATTACTGGAGACATCCTCTGAGGTGCTATCATCACTAATCCATCCTTTTGTCATAAATTGTCCCCCATGTTCCTCAACGATA